AGAATAACTGCCCAAAAGTATTTCTGAACATCTGAACTTATTTACTTCCCACAGAGCGGATCCATGCCCTAATTCCCTTGGAAGCCACCAGGAGTTTTACATTTCTATCACAGAGTAGCACGATCAGAACAAGGGTCTCCACAATTCACTCTGGTTACAAGGCTATTACGAAAATGGGTTTTCTACACATCGGCAGGAAAAACATAGTGCCTTTGCTTTCTTCTAGGACAGAGCCGACTTCAGGTCAATCTATACACTGAGAGGAGACTCCTGTTGGTTCTTCACTCCAAAATCTATAAAATGTATGTTTTACCATGACACATATACTCTTATCTAAGTAATAAATACTTGGCATCATTTGCTTCTTGTGCATCAAATATAAATCTGCCCAGTTACGTAATCTCATTCCTACTTCAGTTTTTTCACACGACCTACTTTCACGATGAACATCTCTCTTTTGGAATCCTCAGCCTAGCCCTGGGCGTCAGGAGTCAGAGACTCTCCTGCTGAGAGATACCGTGGAGGTGTAATCAAATGCATGGGAAAGGCTCACCGACACTTGGTGTGCAAGCTGACATGAAAGCCAAGTGAACCCCACGCTGAATTTCTATGCATTCGTTCTGACTGGGGTAGTGGAATAAATCCCCCCTGAATGAGTAGGGAAGAAAGGGGAGGCGCAGGAAGGACAAGAGTGATGTGCACGGCTAGAGGAGCAGACTGTGGGAGAGGCACGGAGCAGGCATTTCCGGGAGAGTAATGGCCCGCAGCGCAGCGATAGCCTGGCAGCCCATTATGGTTAGGAGCGATGAAAAACTCTTAATACCTGCAACACAGGCCGGGTGGTTCTGTAGACAAATTTTTGTGTCAGATGGTTGGGGCACGTTAAGTGAGGAATGCCAAGGTGAGGAAAAGACTGGACTTAGAAAAGTGCAGAGCCATTCCGTGAGATGGCTGTGAGCTGGCGGCGCCTAAGTACACTCACAGCCAGTGGAGGCTGATGCAACCACAGGCAGATGAGAAAGGACTCCACTCTTTCTCCCTCCAAAAGGACAGGGAAACAGGCATGCCGGTAATTATCAAACATTCTTAGGGAAAAGTGCACTTCTATTCTTTTTGTTTAAAGATTTTATTTATTTATTTTTAGAGCGGGGAGGGAGGGAGAAACAGAGAGAGAGAGAAACATCAATGTGCGGTTGCTGGGGACCATGGCCTGCAACCCAGGCATGTGCCCTGACTGGGAATCGAACCTGCGATGCTTTGGTTTGCAGCCCGCGCTCAATCCACTGAGCTACGCCAGCCAGGGCTCACTTCTATTCTTTAAAACAGAACTTCATACAGCGTGATGGGTATAGTTAATAATATTATGCTGCATATTTGAAAAGGGTTAGGAGAGTAGATCTTGAAAGTTTTCATCACAAGATAAAAATCTGTAACATGCGTGGTGATGGATGCTAACTAGACTTGTCGTGGTGATCATTTTACAGCTTAATCACATATTGAATCATCATGTTGCATACCTAAAACTAACATAATGTTAGATGTCAATTCTACCTCAATTTAAAAAAACTCTATCAGAATAATAACAACACTTTCCTTAAGTCTTTGTCTGTGGAGGCAGCAGTTTCTCAACTTGTATCACAAGAAAATGGTGGGATGCTAATGATAAAGGTCAGATTATAACCCAGCCCACAAATCCATGCCTTGGGGATCTCCTGAAGAAGGTTCTAGAAGCACTCCTGACACCTTCAACAAACTGCTCTACTTAGGTCTTGAATTATGTGAAATGACCCAGTACTTTGGCTAAAATAATGTCACGAGTCATCTTGTGACTTTATTATTCTCAATGTCTTAAGAACCAAATTTTAATTATTTATCTCATCAGCCATCAGCCATTGCCATGGCCTCCAAATTCGAAGGTCTAAAATCTCATATATACACACATGATTTCTCTGACATTTGAAATCCCTGCATTTAAGCATTGAATCATTCACTTACTAACTATATTTGGCCAGAGTCTAATCATATACAAATATAAAGACATGATATATTTCTAAGCATATACAACACAAGCCATTCCTCTAATTAACTAAAGTACATTTAATACTACATTTAAAAAATGCCTGCTTTCATCTGAAGGATCACAAAGGTAACACTTCAGACATAACACAATAGATTATCTGTAAATCAGTTAATTTGTAATTAGTATACAGTGAAATAAATCGAATGTCAAAAATAATTGGATGTCTGTCCCAAATACTTTCATCTCACTCACTCTCACTAGGAGACTTGATCCATAGACATTACTACTCCCGTTTTAGAGACGAGGAAGCACTTACTCAATATCATAGAACTGGTAGGACGTGGTGGATTCAGCGATAAAACGGAGGACAGTGCGACACACAGAGTACTGGTCCACTACATGATCGGAACAGGCCATCCGGGTTATCAAGGCCATCATTCGCGTTCTCCAAGCGACCCAAGTAGCCCCATTTGTCAGAAAGACTGAGCGTGGCCATCTAACCGGTACAGGTTAAACACACGTCTATGAAAAGTAGTGGTTAGCCTCCTTCCTTTGTCCCATGATGACCTGCCTGTCCTCTCATCCACATTTCCGTCTCTAATTTTTGGTTCTGTCTGTCCTATGAAAACTTCGGGTCATAGTCATTACCTCCCTCAACTTAGAAAAAGAGAAAATATACCTATTCTACATACACAAGGGAATGTATTGGGTTCGAAGTTGTTCTCATACCTCTGATAGTCTCATTGAGACTATCGCCCTGAAATGGTGAAAAGTACCATTTTGTCATCTCGGACACACAGCCCAAAGCACTCCAGTTCCCTGCCACCTGTCCCCAAGCAACTACAACTTGTCCCTGTGAGTCCTTTCATTTGTTTATCTTGTCTATAAATTCTCTCTCCATCTCAAATTAAGTGTTGGGCTTTTAACAATATTTTAGTCAGTTAATAGTTTGTTTTTAACCTCTTTGCATCCTGACCATTTTACTGTGAGCCTCTGCATGGAACTCCCAATACACACCACGCAGGGCATAAACACAAACTTGTTTCCTGTCACATACCATCTGCCAAGTGACTGTCTGCTATTAATTAAAAGAGAAGCACAGAATATTTCTTGTGCTAATCAAGGAAACCCACAGTTTCTTAGAAAAACAGTAACAATAGTGCCCAGTAGCTTCGTGTGCATTTGAAATATAAGTAACCTTAGGTACATGCATTTCATAATTCTAAATTGACTTATAGGGATTATTTAAATACAAACACTTTGAATTATTGTGTGAAGACTGTAAAATTTAAAAGAAGGGTGTTTCTAAATATATTTTAAGTTATGTTTACTTCAAAATGTCAACCTCACTCAGGCAACTCCATTTAGAACAAAATTAATGAGAACAGTCGTCTTTAGAAAATTTTTACGTTCTCACAAAAGTATGATTTTACCAATAACTACTAATTATTTCTAAATCAGCTGAATATTATAAACCTGTCCACAGAAGGAAAGTTCAATGAACTGTTAAATGTTCATTAAAGATGAATGAAATTAAGAGCTAGATTCTTAGTCAATAACAGTGCATTAAGGCTGCTTAGTCTCCCTCTGTTTACAAGGAAACAAGGGAACCTGGGAAACTGATCACGTGGACACTACATAAGACGCTCCTACTGAAAAAGTAGAATGGCAAGGAAAAAAACAGATGTGTACGCAAAACACCTGTGTGCTCACACACCTTTTCTTAGTGCCGAAACATGCTAGGCCTGGGCTAGAAAAAACTCCTAATCGACATCCCTAGAAACCTTGAACTTACTCAGCTTCTTTCCTTGACAATAAATGTCTGTCATTATTTGTAAACTATAGAGGCATTCGCTGAAAACGGTCAATATAATACAGATTACCTTGACTCAGGCGGGCACTCAGCAACAAAAATAGGTGTTCACCCTTACTGGAGGTGTATTCAAGTGAAAACATAACCCACAAAATAAACAAACTGTGAAGATTCTTCCTCCATCATTCAAAGTTGAAAATCTACCCATAGGTAAATTCATCAGTGTTTCTCAGGAACAGACACATACACTGACAACAGGAAAGGCAAAAACGCAGATGGATAGATTTCCTGTCGAGAGCGCTGTGTTTAGAAAACGATGCTCAGCCCCAAATTGAGAGGTGTAGGAAATCTTGACAAGTATGAAAACATCAAAACTGCAACACACTGGGGACCGGACCCCAGCGAACGAGCACGTTACGGGAAAGGTCACGCTCTCCCACGTGCCCTTCGGTGCAGAACACGCTCACGTGAAAATCCTGCCCAAACAGACGGACAGAAGATAGCCGCGGAAAAGAAAGCTCAGTTTGGCGACCACTTGGCCACCAAACAAATGCACCACGAACAGCCCCCCATGGGTCCAGTGTTGCTTCTAACTGACTCCTGTTCACATTCATTGTTCACCCAAAGGCCATTGCAAAAAGCAGATTTTAAAACATCCATCAAAACCAGACCACTGCTACGAAAGATAAGTTTGAATTGCTCATGATTTGAAGACAATAGGCTCAGTTATCTCATTTCGCAGTTTTTAAACTGCAAGTATCCAGAAAGGCTATAGAAGCGTAAAGTTAGTATGGGCGTCATTTACACAGTACCACCCCCAAAGCAAGTCAACCGGCTATAAACACCCACAGCTCTTCATGTACTAGTGAATATCCCTGCTCTACTTTTAGAAATGCTGGGCATGCCACCATCAAGGACGATGAGGCATCTGTGGAACCCCCACCTGTTTCAGGGGTGAAGCATGGCTCTCTAGTTATGTCTTCACTGTATGAGTAATACTTGTCTTACAATCTCAGAGTGCCTAACCAAGGCCAACAACCTCGGACACTAGTTCCCAGGGGTGAGAGATGCGTGTGTTCCATCCCCAAAGCAAAAACCAGCACTTCTCCATCCAACCACAGACAGGCCCAGCGACCATCTGTGACTTCGAGAGGCCGTGCGCCCTACCTTTCCCACGTAGAGAGGGTCCGACCCCATGTACTCCTCCAGCACAAAGAACTGGTTCCACACCCAGCTGCGCTTGGTCCGGGGCCTCCCCGACGGGAAATAGGGCTTCGACCTGGACCTCGGCAGGTCGGCTTGGCTCATCCCAGAAAAGCACAGGAAGAGAGCGACGAGCGGCAGGAAGTGGCAGAACTCCACTTTGCCCAACTTCATCTTTTTTTTTTCTTTCTTTTTCCTGTGTAAGAAGAAAACCTTGACAACAGAGAAGGCACAGTTCCAGCTGGCCTGGCAGCTCTTGCCCCCGGCAGGGTGTCAGCTGGGAGTCCAGAGATGATAATTTGTAGAGGGTTCCACTGGCGGAGTTCACCGCGGCTGAACGGCCTCCGCCCAGGAATGGTGTAAGCGGCTCCTGTCGGGACAAAGACAGACTGGTGTCAGAAACCAAGACGCACAGCTTGGAGCTGTCATTTACCAACTCCATACCGACATTCCCAAGGTGTCAATATTGGTATAAGCATGAAAACCAAACTTATGAACATAGATGGAAATTTGCACTCACTGTTGCCCTGCCTGTAAGTTGTATACATCGTGCTGATGCAAAATTATTCTCATCCCATAAAGCAACCTTAGAATGTCGTTTCTTCTAGTGCAGCCTATTGGAGCATATGGTTTATTGAACACAAATGGAGCAACATCAGTTAAAAAATCGTCTTCATGCTAGCCTTTACGTATGTCATTTTTTATAGCGCAGGCAGTTTCATGGGTTGGTATTAGACTATGAAAGCAAAGCAGCTCAAAGCAGGGATTTAAGCAAACGGGAAGGACATGTGCTGGTTGAAACCTCCTCTGTGAAACTGCAGAAAGAGAGAAGCATGAGGTGATTCAGCATCGGCTGACGCGTTCTGAGTCACAGAACACCAGCTGTTTTGATGTGCTCCGATTTGATTGTGCTCAGCTAAAAAGCCCAGTGGTCTCCCCTGCCCACCCCTTCAAACTTATTGTCACGGATGCTGTGTAGCGGGGTAGGTGATGCTCTTTCACTGCAGTGATCTGTGACTGCACCGATATTTACTGGACATCTCCTGGCTCGGCTCATGCATAGTAGGCCCTTCCCCCAGACACAGTAATGGGATGGAATTTTATGGCCCCTGAGCGGGGTGAGGAAACTCAACCACATGCGCGAGCCCCATTCATTGTTGGCAAGTACCCAGGAGGTGCTGTAGCAGCAGCACAGAAAAGAAAAAAAAACCTTTTATCCTCATTCTAAGGTCTACTTATTTCAGTTACAGAATTCTGATTATGTAAGAGATATAAAATCAGTTACAAAACAAACTTCCAAACACACCCCAAAACACAGAGGAGTGAGGATTTATGACAAACTGTTCATTTAAATCACTGTGCTGTATTTTGGTTTATACATTCATTTGACTAACTATAAATAAATCAACAATAGGATAATTAGAGTGAAAGATGAACATGTGCTTATTATTTTTGAGAGGGGAGAAAAATACAATTTTAAGAACAGCTTGAAATGATAGCTCCCTGTCAAAGCAGAAAATACACTACCTTTATATTATAAGCTTTTCACCTTTTTTATAAGCTCTTCCACCTGTCTCTCCTGTACCAGGAGTGCCTGTTACTAGGACAGTTTCTGACTGTCAAATTGCTTATAGAAAATGCCATGTAAGTAGAAGAAAGGTGAAATTTATTAAATACGTTGGAATAGCCCACACAATGGAAGAAACACAATAGGTTGTACTGACTTTGAGCTCTACTCAAGTGAACCTATTTGTGTTAAAATATCTCTTTGAAGTTTTGAAATTCCATAGGACATTGCAAACTCCAGCTACCTGCAAAATAGACAGCCACTTGTTGACGTATGCCAAGAGCTGCCAGAATGAGTAAACCGTGATGGGGGCACCAAACACATCTCCCCACATCCATGTCTCCCATGTGGAGTGGCAATGAAATCGGTCTCTTTAGAAACCATTCTAGAAGGTCTTATTCCAGACTAAGAATCATAAACAAGAAGTGACTTGGGGTCTGGTACTGGTATCCCAGTGCCAGCCCCTCAATGAGGTTCAAAGTTCATGGTAGGGATGTCTGAGCTAACTAACCCCCCTGAGACAAGTTCCCTATAATTAAAAAAGGTAAGTAGGTGCTTAAACTGGGCAATGGTGCACTGGTGTATGTGACGGCCTATGAGGAGCCAGGAATTACAGTCAGGAGCTCGGGGGAGTGGCCTTCAGTAGCAATGGTTCTCAGCATGGCGAGGAGCATAGTTACATGGCCTTCCCCATGCTAGTGGCCACCGAGGTTCCTGGGGACAAGGAGGGTTGTGTTACCCTCGTGGTGATGGGACGGAGCCTAGCATGGGACACCTGAGGCCAAAGAACATTTCCAGGGTCAACCCCCTCCTCCCCCAAGAGAGAATGAATTTTCTCATAAAAACAAGGACAAAAAAAATACTTTGATCCTGGAGACAAATTTTTTTAAATGTGATATAGCTAAATGATACTATTTGGACTACTTTATGCATTAAGTGAACTTGATAACATTGCTTCAGTATGAAAATGTCCCCAACTTCTAGAAAACTGAGTAGGGAATGAACTTCGAGAAGTCATACTTCGGGGAGTTGTTATAACTGCGCACGGGTAAGGACTGGGGAATGCATCCGCTAAAGACAACTTCTTTTTTTTTTTAAATTTTATTTATTTATTTATTTATTTATTTAGAGAGGGAAGGGAGCGAGATAGAGAGAGAGAAACATCCATGTGCGGTTGCTGGGGGTTATGGCCTGCAAGCCAGGCATGCATCCTGGCTGGGAATCGAACCCGCAACACTGGTTCGCAGCCTGCGCTCAATCCACTGAGCTACGCCAGCCAGGGCTTAAAGACAACTTCGGAGTCTTCCTGTCTCAGCTCTACAGTCTTGGGCTAGTGACTCACATTCTAAGAAGGTACTTTGAAAAGACAAAGCCTCAAGCTTCTCACTTGTACAACAATGCCTGGAATGGCAGGCACCTACTTCGTGATGGGATTGAACAAGGAAGTCAGGAAGCGTTCAGGACAGTGCCTGGCACAATAAAGACACTAAAACGAACAGCTGTTGGGGCTGTTATTATCACGAGAATATCTTTCAGTTTGATGCCAGTTCTATTAACATGGGTCTGTGAAGAGGTGTTTGTAAACAGCCTCGAGAGTTCTGGTCAGCGCCAGAGAACTTTCTGAATCCTGAGCCAAAAATATCGAGATGGCACCAAAATACTTTTTTCAAAAAGTGTAATAGGGAAGTGATTTCCTGAAGGCAGGTCCTCTGTGTTTTTCATGAGTCAAAGACTGGTGTCAGAATTGGAGAGACTCGCCCCAGCTCACTCAGGATGTTCGCTGATAAGAAAGAAGCAAAGATCATCTGGACCAGGAGGAGGCGCACTGGCCCTTGGTCCTGAAGACTGCACTTTCTGTGGGACCTTGGGTTCCACTGAGGGTTAGTTTTCAACATCTGAGAAGGAGGGAAGTGAACTCAATTATCTTTAAACTCTGTTTTTTACAGGTCTTACTTGTATGCTTTTGACCATTATATAGAATTGATTTTGTTGGCTTTTTTAAGCTATGAAAACATGTGCCTTGCGACTAATTAAAGATAAAAGGCAGAGAGACTTAAGAAAGCCACAGCAGTGGAAAAGGACCATTTACCTCCAGTTATCCATGGTCATCAAACATAAGGAACCACAACTTGAACTTGAGATTTCCTATTACATAACCCTCCAAGCAGACTTGCTCCCTTCCCACAGATGTTAACACATATAAAGGTACCCCAATAATGTTTTATATATCAATGAACTTGAGCACACAATCAACCCCAAGTGTTGACTTTTTCGCAGTAGGTTAAATATCACCTCACAAATCTGAGCCCCAGGGGAAACACCTGCATCCTTCCATCTTGGGCTTTCCTATCGTGTATCCTCTCCCTTTCTTCTACCTCCTCTATATCCTACACAGGCGCCAACAAGGGGCAAGTCCCAGCAAACACAAGCTGCCCCCAGTCTGTCTGGCGCGTCCTCCGGTCTTCAGTGAGATAGCTCAGGAGGGTGACCTTCTGCTATCCAGGTCTGGAGAGCGGACCTGGGCACTGTTCCTAGCTCAGAACGAAAGACAGTGCAGAGAACGGACGTGTGGCATGCAGTTCAGGCACCTCGGACACATCAGTGTCCGTATCTCGACGGTGACAAATGTCCGCGTTAGAACTCGGAGGAGGAAACCCGGGACAGGCTGTATGTGAGGAGAGCAGAGCGGAACCGCAGCCGACCACGGGGGTTTGAAGGAGTGCTGGGGACAGCTGCGGGACTAGGCACCTCAAGTCAAAGAGCTCATCTGGGTAACACTTAGAAGGCGCTGTTTCTGCCCTGATATTTTAAAGCTGAAACATGCATTTTTTTCATGGATACCATTTAATTTCTTCCGAACAAAAACATACATGAAAATCAGCATGAGTAAGACTGCGATCAGCACAGCACACTGTAACGCAGAGAATACACAATGACACCTCACAAAGGAAGTAGCAAATGATTGCAGCAAAGGGGGGCGGGGCGGGGGAGAGGGCGAGAATCAGTCGAGCAGTATTCACTAAATTAAAATCACTTATTTGACCCAAAACCACTTTATCACGCTGCCTCGTGTTCCAACTGTTTTTGTGCAACTAAGTGCGAACACTTATTTCCAAGTAGATAGTTTATTATTCATTTAACCTTAATAGCTAATGTTATTTTACCAAAATGAATTCATTATCATACAGTTTTCTTGGATTCTCTGCTCCACTTAACTCTGTGAAACTACTTCTAAAAATCAGATCAAATCACTATCACATACCTAATCAAATGTTTTGTTCATGCCTAAAAACAATGACTAAAAGTTCCATAGTAACAAAAACATTTGTTTAAGAATCAGCATACCAGTTGTTAATTAGTAAAAGCACAAGTCTTCCAGATCCTGCCCCACCTCAGTTAAAGGCAACAGGCTAAAACCATGACAAGCAGCATAAAATGTATCAGATTCAGCCGAGCCACTTAAGTTCATATGTGACCGGAAGAGGAGCATATGTAAACACATCCCTAATTACCAATTACTTTGGATATGCTAAACTGCTTTTTAAGAAGTAGCCAGGGCTATTTGCCTTCTAGAAATGACTTTAGCTATAAACTATGGCTATCAATTCCATTCAAATAAAATACATTACTATTTTAGCTTTTGTGGCACTTAAACTGGGATATGTTCTTGCAGTCCAGTATAAATAGCCAGAGCTTCATTTTACCTCTGTTAAAGCTCTTATACCATCACAATTCCCCTAAATTATGGGCAAGGAACAGCTGCTCGGCCTTCATGCCTGAAGTTAGCATCAGAAGCGGGTCTA